GAAAAAACTGGTGAAATTCTAATAAGGTTTAGTAGTACTGTTCCAATGTTATACAAGCAGAGTATAAGAAACAGCTCTATTTATCTGAGTACATTTACTGATCACAAGAAACTGGGATGTGCATTTGATTATATGCAGAAAATGATGTTGGGGGGAGGGGACTGCCACTTCAAGAGTACATGAACCAAGAACTTCCAGACGTTCAAGCTGATTTTAGAAAAGGCAGAGGAACCAGAGATCAAATTGCCAACATCCGTTGGATTATAGAAAAAACAAGAAAGTTCCAGTAAAACATCTACTTCTGTTTCACTGACTACGCTAAAGTCTTTGTGTGGATCACAACAAACTGTGGAAAATTCTTAAAGAGATGGAAATACCAGACCACCTGACCTGCCTCCTGTGAAACCTGACCGCAGGTCAAGAAGCAACAATTAGAACCAGACATGAGACAATGGACTGGTTCCAAATCAGGAAAGGAGTATGTCAAGGCTGTATATTATCACCCTCCTTATTTAACTTAAATGCAGAGTACATCATGCAAAAAATGCAAAGCTGGATGAAGCACAAGTTGGAATCAAGACTGCCAGGAGAAATATCAATAACCTCAGATATGCAGGAGACAACCACGCTTATGGCAGAAAACTAAGAGTAACTAAAAAGCCTCTTGATGAAGGCAAAAGAGGAGTGAAAAATCTGGCTTATAACTCAACATTAAAAAATGAAGATCATGGCATCTGGTCCCATCACTTCAGGGCAGATAGATGTGCAGTGACGGACTTTATTTTCTTGGGCACCAAAATCACTGCAGATAGTGACTGCAGTGAAGCCTTGCATACTGCAGTCCATGGGGTCGCAGAGTCGGACAGAACTGAGCAACGGAAGGAAAACAACAAAGGGGTCCTAGACAAGTTGCACACTTAGGTCTTAGCAGAAGCAAACTCAACTCCTCTTCTGAAGAATCCAGCTTCATACCAAGGCTTGGGAAATTCCCCAAAAATAATTTTTTAAAGGCAATGAAAAGTTACTTAAATATAACAAGCACAAAAGGAAATAATGAAACCTGAAAACCACCAGCAAAAACAATAGCTAGCAGAGAGAGATCTACAAAGTCTTCACATACTGGAAATATCAGTGACAGATTATAAATCAACATGCTTATTGTTCTTAAAGGAATAAAGAGGATAGCAACAGTATGAAAAAAGATAGCAGAGGATATGATTCATAAATCTATACTAGCATATCTGAAAATTTAAACAAAATGGACCAACTTCTAGGAAAATGTAACTTATCGAAATTGACTCAAAGGAAAATAGACAACCTAGAGAAGCCTATAACCATCAAATAAATTGAATCCATAGTCAAAAATACCATAAAAGAAAGACAAAATAAATTCTTTCTCTCTCTCATTTCAGATGCAAATGGATTCCCTGGTCAGTTTTATCAATCATTCTAGGAAGAAATATTCCAATCTTATACAAACACTTCCAGAGCGTTAAAACAGGAAGAAAATATATGAAAGCAATACATCCTGACTCATACTATGAAGCCAACATAACCTTGATAGCAAAATCTCAAGAGGACATTACAAGAAAGGAAATTTACAAGCCAATTTCTCTCATAAATATAAATGAAAACTCCTACATAAATTATTAATAAGCTAAATTCAAAAACATAAGGACACTTCATCACAACCAAGTTGAGTTTACCCCAGAAATGGCAGATTATTTTAATTGAAAAATATAATAATAATAATAAAGGGATGAAAATAAGACTATATATATGTACACACCTGATATTTGCAAAAAGAAACACTTGAACAAGTGACAAAACTAATAAAAGCAGTTACTAAAGGTGAAAAAGAGGTTTTTGAGACATATGAACATAATACTGATTTTCAAATTATTAAGTGTATCAATTAATGCAATTCATCACATCAGCACAGCAGAAGAGTAAAATCATATGAACATGCGAAGATGCAGAAAAAACATTTGATAAAATTCAATATCCACTTGGTACTAAGAAAAACTCTTAAACTTGGATTAGAAGGGAATTTTCTTAATCTGATGCAATATATATGTGGGAAAAAGTTATATCACACTTGTGAAATGTTATGAATTATCCCTCAATTAAGAACAAGGCAAAAATACCTACTATCAGTTTTATTCAACATTATATTGGCAGTCCTATCCACAGCATCAGGGCAAGGAGGCAAAAAAAAAAAAAAAAAAAACAAGCATAAGGACTGAAAAGAAACAAATACTGCCCCTCTTGAAAATAATATGATCATGTGTGTAGAATAAATTTACAGATTTATTATTAAAATAGTAAGAGTTTAAATGAAAATCAGTATATAAAAGTTAATCATATTCCTATATACAATTAGGGAAAAATTAAAAACATATTTTACAACATTATAAAACTTTAAGTACCCAGGAATAAACTTCCCAGTAATGTATAAGATCTCCAAGAAAAAAATTATAAATATTGTGAGGCAATGCAAAAGACCTAAAAAAATGGATCAGATGACTTCATTTTGTAATGGCATTAATGCTCCTTGTATCAGTTTATGATTTCAATACAATACAAAAAAAGTCTTGCAGACTCTTTTTTTTTTCCCTTAATGTAGAACTTCGTGGCATGATTCTAAGAAATGTAAAAGGCCAAGACTGGTTAAGACACTCTTTTAGAAGAACAAAGTGGACAGGCTTGCTCTACCAGATATTAAGACATGTTACAAACTTATGGTAACTAAGAAAACATACTGCTCATGCAGGAATATACTAACAGATCCAATGGTATAAAACAGAAGTGCCAAGAAACACAGTGCACACATATGGGCATTTGATAGATGACGGTGGCACAGCAGATCAGTACAGAAAGGAAAGACTTTTCAATAAATGCTGCTAGAGCAACTGGCCATCTGTACAGGCTGAAAAGTGAAATTGAACCCCGACCTCCACTAGCCAAAAAATCAATACTAAGCGGAACAAGACACAAAAAGAACTAATGATAAAGGAAGTTATTGATAAAGTTTACTACCTTAAAATGAAGAACTTCTCTGTTCAAGGCACAATTTTTTTAAAAAATGAAAAGAGAGTGGAAGATATTTGTAATCCATAAAACAAAGAAGTCAGTTATATATATATATATATACACACACACACATATATATATATATATCTGTATCTGTGTGTATAAATTATTCCTGTAAAATAATGAGAAAAAGACAACCCAAATGAAAAATGAGCAAAAGACCTGAATGAGTAGCTTGCAAAAGAAAAAACACAAATGACATTCAAAGTAGCTTTAAATTTTAAACCACAAGAAGAAACCATGACATATCCATATGACTGACAAAAATTAAAAATTCTGTAATAACAAGTATTGGTGAAGATACTGAGAAAAAGGAACTCTCTGACACTCTTCATGGGAATGCAAATTGGTACAACTTTAGAAAACAGTTGGCAATATCTGATATTATTGAAGATATGCATAGTGTGTGACCCAACAATCGCACTCCTAGGTTGATATTCCATTTAAATGTATGTAGATGTGCAGCAGGAGATATATACTAGAATGCTTACACCAACACTGTTTACAATAACCAGAAGGTCCAGAATTTGGAAATCAGATATTCATCCTTGACAGAACAGGTAACTTGTGGCATATTTATAAAATGGAATTCTACACAACAATGAATATAAACAAACTACAGTCACCCACTGGATGAATCTCACAATGTTGAAAAAATGAAGCAAATTCCAAAAGAATGCATGATAACAATACAATAGCAATATCAACTGTGTCAGGTTCAAATAAGTTTAGAAATGAATAAATCTGGTAAAAGTATAAAGATAAGCAAGGAAATGACCACCACAAAAGTCAGGATAATGGCTACCTATGGGAAAGGGAGATGGTTATAACTGGAAAATTATAAAAAGGGCAATGGGCTTCAATAGTGCTATTAATAATCTATTTCTTCATCTAGGTGGAGGTTACATCAGTATTTGCTTTATAGTTGTTAGACTGTGCATATGTTTTCATACACTTTGAGTGTGCATTTTACAATGTTTAAAAAAGAGGAAAAATCCTAATATAGCGGATTTCGTTATCAAAGTATTTGCTATCCCAGTGCCAGCAACTGAAAGGTTGCTTAGAGAAACAAAAGATGTCACAATGACAATAAGCTAATGAACTAATCACTTAATGAACTGATCACTCACTTTCCTGCCTGGTTACCTCCAGATGTTTCTCTCACTGATTGGAAGCATCCACAGTATAAATAACAGGCAAATCACCTTCAAATTCATTCATTCAACAAATATTTATTAATATTTATAATATTTCCATACACTGTTCCAGGGGACCAGCAAGGTTCAAGATAAACAAAGGCCCTGTCCTCCTGCAAAAGATAAAGGACAGGGGACCCGCCACTTCCATCTGAATTTTGCCTCCACCCTCTCATTCTCTTTTCCAAACAAGTACCAAACATGAAGAACTAAAAAGGATCTCAGGAATACACATGAAGTTATCATCAAAACCTAATCCTAGGGAGTCTTTTCACTATAGAGGAACCACATGCTTGGGTTCTTTGGCTAAACTATGGCTTGCCATATTTTCAAGTAGGCAAAATGACTGCCTTATCAAGAACCTTAAAGTCAAGGCACTAGTCTCAACAATGGAGATGCTGTGAGAACTGGCTTACATGGAGTCAAAATCCCAAGGAATGGCATCCAAAGACCAGAGGCTTGTCATTTTCCAGACACTGTACCCTAGACTTTGCGTGTACATTTATTTTTCTCAGGTCGGAGTCCAGAACTTTTATCTGATTCTCAAAGGAGTTCAATCAAAAAGGGGCCATTAAGCACTGCTCCCAACAAGTTGAACAGGCCAGCTTTTTAGGGACATGGTGAAAGTGAATGTGGCCACAGGCAGACCACCTGAGTTGAAACCCACGTGTCCTGACCTCTGGGCCTATGCTCCGAATGACCAATACTTACTCTTAGTTCCTCGAAGGCTTCATCGAGGGTGGAGAGATGGTGGCCATGGTGAGCCCCAATGACTGGGCAGAGCACACAGATGAGCTGCTTGTCTTCCTGGCAATAGGTACTCAAATCGAGCCCATGGTCCGGACACTTCCTCTTGGCCACTCTCTCTGCTTCCATTTCTATTTCGGGGTCAAATTCGCTTTCCGCCTCCGTTTCTCCCTCGGCCTCGGATTCTCCTTCTTCCTGGTTGTCCTCCTCGGCTTCGCTCTCTTGCTCGTCCTCCATTTCTTCCTCACTGTCTCCCTCGCTCTCGTCCTCGCTCTCTTCCTCTGTCTCGCTCGCTTCTTCGGGCTCACTGTCTTCCTCGGACTCGCTCCCTTCCCCCGCCTCGCTTTCTAGGGCCTTCTCATTCTCCACCGGGGCCTCGACTGCCTCCTCCCCGGCCCCATCCCCGCCGGCTCCCGGGGTCCAGGCCTGGGCGGCGCAGTGAACGTACTCGGCCAGGTGGTGTCTGGGGAACTTCTGCCCGTGCGCCTCCGCGTGGTGGCGGCAGTAGCAGAAGCCGCATTCTCGACACACTTCCTCGGCCCCCGGAGCCTCGTCGGGCTCGCACTCATCACACGTGCCGTCGTGCGGCAGCTCCTCGAAGGCCGCACCCCCTCCGGAGGCCATGTGGAGGCTCTGCCGCGGCCCGGGCCTCGGGGCTACCGATCTCGCCGTCTAGCTCCGGCGCGGCCTCCTCCCCAGCCCCGGGGACTGGCCGCGCCGTGTCCCGCAGCCTCGGGGCCGCTGCTGCCTGCTCCCGGTAGCCCGTGTCCGGCGGAAGAGCGCAGGGCCTTCCCGCCGGCTCAGCAGCTCGGCGACCGCTGAGCTTCCTCCCGCGGTTGGGGCACTTCCGGCGCGGCCGCCCCGCGCCCCCGTCGGCCCCCGCGCCGTGCCGCCCGCTCGGCCTCCCGCTGCCCCCGGCGAGATCTTGGAGCCGCGAGGCCTCCGCGCTGCCCCGGTTCTACTTTGCCTCCCTCCTCCCCCCAATCAGGCGGCCTCCTTTCACTTCCTGAGTCACTTAAAGTGGCGATGGTCCCTTTCTGCGTTTCCCGCGGGGGCTCAGCATCCCCGGAAGGAGGGGAAGGATGGAAGAGGTGTCCAGCTCACTCCGCTCACTCCGGGGGCGGGAATTGGGCCCCGCCTCCTCCACTCGCTCTCTGGAGTTGTCAACCTGACTTCTCAGGTCACCAGGCAGGTGTAGAGGTGCATTTCAGCCTCCTTCCCTCAAATTTGTTGCTGCCCGTCTCTGCCCCCGCTGCTGCCTGTTCTGCAAGGCGCCAGAACAGAGTGGTGTTTACCAGACTGAACCTGACCCTTTGGGATTTCCCGGGGGAAAGGTTGTGTTTGTTCACTCTAGGCTCAGGGAATCCGAGTCAGGATGAGCAAACAGACATTTTCCATCTAAAGCAATACTATGCTTTGTCTGTTTGCAAAGTCTATTTGCATTCTTGCTCTCTTAGGGGCTCCGAAACTCTAGAATGGTAGCCTCTGCGCCTTTTTTCAAGAGTTTGCCTTGGGTTTGTCTGAGATGTCAGTGAAAGTAGGTAGGGAGAGACAATATTTGTCGAGTGAGAGTTCTAGCATGCAGTCATTATCCTTTATGTAAGGAGACCATCTAGATTCAGATTGGTTCCAGGAGCTAGAAAGGGGACTGTTATTTATTAACCAATACTAAAGAGCCAGGAATCGAGCTGGATCTTTTTTGGCTTTTTAAAAGCCAAGTTTGGAAGAGCCACTGCCCAAGGACCGGCAGATCCTGGTACTACAAAGTACTGGTTTTGCAACTATGTCTCCATAATTAATTGATCATTCTGTTTTCCACTTTTAAGTATATTTTCCACTATTAAGTATATATTAAGTATGTTTTCCACTATTAAGTATACATATTTAAAATATGTATATATATATGCAAAGTGGAAATAATAGTAATACCTACTCATAGGCCTATTTTGTGGATAAAATGTAAAAGTACCTGCCTTGTAGAAGTATTCACTGTATTGTAACTGTTATTGGCACAAATTATAATTAGTGCACATAATGACCCTTAACACATTTTGGCTGGCTGCTGTTGTAAGCAACTCCCCACCTCTACCTCTTATATATGTCTCTCAATTCATAGAAGAGCTTTTGATTTGTTTATTTGAGTGTGGAAATGGACATTTTAATCTAGTCCAGGGAGAAACTGAGATATGGTTGAAGAGAAGGAAGGGAAATGGAATGGTGTCTGTTTTTTATTGATTCTCTTAGATACATTTGAGTTAGGATTTCTAGATGATCTTCACAAAATGCCAGGGGATTGCAGGGGCGGGTGTATAAATCATTTAAAATAATTTTTAATATCTGTACATATAATGTATGCTTAATTTCTGTGTAGCTTTTGTCAGAGATTTTATTTTGAAACAGATCTTTTATTAACCTCAAAGCAATTCTATAGAATGTTGTGGGGGGAGGCGCAGAACCCAAAGTTTCATTTTGTTCCAATTCCATACACATTTCTGTTTTTTTGGAGTTCATTTCTCCAGAAATTATGCCTTTTGTTGTCATTATTTGGCTTCCCAGGTAGCACAGTTGTAAAGAATTCACTGCCAATGCAGGAGTGGAAGGTTTGATCCCTGGGTTGTAAAGATCCCCTGGAGAAGTGCATGACAACCCACTCCAGTATTCTTGCCTGCAGAATTCCATGGACAGAGGAGCCTGGCAGGCTACAGTCCATGGGGTCACAAAGAGTTGAACAGGACTGAGCACACACGCACATTGTTATTATTGTCATTATTGTTTGTTCTTAATTTTGTCTGACAGAAAGTTAAAGTATCATATCAGTATCTGACACTTGACGAGCTTTTTTGGAGTCCTGTGGTGAGAGGGTCTTAGAGACAGAAGTTATGGAACTGTTAAAAAGGGACTTCATAAAATTCTGGCGATGGAATATGGCAGACTCACAAGATGGACCATCTGTATCCCTCTGCACAGAAATCAGAATGGTCTGATTCCATAGGAATTGGAAACTTTGGGAGTAAGTAGAGACAGAAACTTATTTTAGTCCACAAACTCTAATCCATTACTGCATAAAAATACCTCAAAATGTAGCAGCTTAAAACAATGAACAGTTATTACTTCACTTATTCCTGAGCCAGGATTATAGGAGTGGCTTAACTGAGTGGTTCAACTCAGGGTATCTCAAGAGATTTCAGTGAAATGTTGGCTGGAGCTGTAATCATTTGAAGACTTGACTAGAAGTGTAGGATTTTCTTCCAAGATGGCTCCTTCACATGGCTGTTGTCAGGAAGCCTTGCCATTTTCTGTTGGGTTGCTTGAATGTCTTCATGATATGGCAGATAAATTATCCCAAAGCAAACAATCCAAGAGGGGACACAGTGAAAGATACTGTCTTTTTTTTTTTTCTTTTTTTGGCTCCACTACATGCTTGCAGGATATTAGTTCCCCAACCAGGGATGGAACCATGCCGGCTGCATTGGGAGCATAGCCTTAACCACTGAAACTCCAGGGAAGTGCCTGCAATGTCTTATAATGTCTAAATTCAGACATGAATTTAATGTCTAAAATCATTTCCAACATAGCCTATTAGTTATGGAGAGGACTATTTGTGCATGTCATGAATATCAAGAGGTGGCAATCAGGGCCATCTTTAAGGCAGGATATCATATTTTGTCCTTTGTCGCCTAGTGATTTATGTCTCTCTTAAATGCAAAATATGTTCACTTCCTCCCAAGTTGCCCCAAACTCTTAACTCATTATATCATCAGCTCAAAGTTCAGAATCTTATCATCTAAAACAGGTCCAGGAGTGGATGAGTTTCCTAGGGGGTGTGTCTGTGTGTGTGTGTCCACTAGTTGCTCAGAGCACACACACACACACACACACACAGACACACATCCTAGGAACCTCATCCACTCCTGGGCCTGTTTTAGATGATAAGATTCTGGACTGTGGACCCTGAAGTTCTAATGACAGGAAGCAGACTGACAAACTACACAGCTGCAAACACGAGTTTCTTTTCAAAGAGGAAGGATAACTCAGAGAGTAGAATCAAGAGCCCAAGGGGTATAAAGTCAAAAGCCATGGAGAATCATTCCCAGGCAGAAGTAGGATTGAGCCCTAATCAAGGCACTTCTAACACGTGTATAGAAGGATTTTTAGGACTGTTATGGAACTCCAACTCTTCTGTGCCTCCTATCTTTTCTTCTTTTTGAACAGGAGTGTCTGTACCAGTTATCTGAAGCTCGTCCCACCATTGTATGTTGGGAGGCATTCAGGTGAAAAGGAGGAGCTGCATACAGGACACTACACTTGGGGCTTCCTGGGTAGCTCAAACGGTAAAGAATCTGCCTGAAATGTGGGAGAACCTAGGTCGGGAAGATCCCTGGAGAAGGGCATGGCAACCCACGCCAGTATTCTAGCCTGGAGAATTCCATGGACAGAGGAGTCTGTCGGGGTATAGTCCATGGGGTTGCAGGGAGTCTGACCCAGCTGAGTGACTTGGCACTTACTCACTCACTCATTCCTTGCTTAAATCCTCAGTAAGTCTGCTGGTTAAAATATAGTTCTCAACTTTGAGGCTGTGAGTCAGTCTCCAGCTGACATTAACTTCTCTTTTCTCTGAGCCCCCGTGTGTGCATGCTAAGTTGCTTCAGTCATGTCCAACTCTCTGCAACCCCATGGACTATACAGGCTTCTCTGTGCATGGAATTCTCCAGGCTAGAATACTGGAGTGGGTTGCCATGCCCTTCTCCAGGGATCTTCCCGACCTAGGTTCTCCCACATTTCAGGCAGATTCTTTACCGTTTGAGCTACCCAGGAGGTCCCAGGTGTAGTGTCCTATATGCAACTCCTCCTTTTCACCTGAACGCCTTCCACCATACAATGGTGGGACGAGCTTCGGATAACTGGTACAGACACTCCTGTCCAAAAAGAAGAAAAGATAGGAGGCACAGAAGAGTTGGAGTTCCATAACAGTCCTAAAAACTCCTTCTAGACACGTGTTAGAAGTGCCCTGATTAGGGCTCAATCCTACTTCTGCCTGGGAATGATTCTCCATGGCTTTTGACTTTACCCCTTGGGCTCTTGATTCTACTCTCTGAGTTATCCTTCCTCTTCCATGAAGAGAAACTCGTGTTTGCAGCTGTGCAGTTTGTCAGTCTGCTTCCTGTCATTAGAACTTCAGGGTCCAAAGTCTCCTTTTCATTTCGTACTATCTCTGTCCCATTTATTCCATGCTGGCAGTGTTTTGGCCAGTATCATTCATTTAGAAAGTTTGTGAGTCTCCTGTGAATCTAACTGGGGAACCATTCCATTGAACAAAAGTCATACCTGCAAATCTCTGAGGTAAGCTCTTCTCTACTCTGGAGGCTCATTCTGCTGAAACTGCTGAGATACAACACTTGTAAGTTTCTTTAAAGCCCTATTGTTTGTCTGAATGATTCTCTGAATCACTTCTGTAGATCTTTTTGAGGTCTGAACAAACGGTTTTACAGCCACACTCTCTACCTTCATCATTGGATGGATGTTTTCCTTGCAGCACCCGAGAGTTTATTTTTAACTGGAAGTCATTTCTTCATTTTAGTATTATTTGCCATCTGAAGAAGACAGGAATTTTCAAATCTAGCAAG